CCCTGCATTGGCAGGCGGACTCTCAACCACTGTGCCACCAGGGAAGCCCCTTGGGAGTTATTCTTAACAGCCCTCCCTCCATTTCTACTTTCTACAACTTCATTGGAGTAACTGTATATTATGTCTAAGTTATGAAATTGCATTTCTGACATATTTTATGTAAGCCTTCTCTTCAGTTTTGCTGAGGTTTTAGTAACCTCATCCAATGGCTGTGTTTCCTGACACAAGCACGGGACGTCCCAGGCCCAAGGGGAGGTGGAAGCATTCACCAGTGACAGACAGTTCCCCAAATGCTGACCCAGTTCAGGGTCTGGAGATATTACAGGGTTTAATAGTTCATTCTTTTCCTTACATTCAGAATTTTTATTGAAGTAATTGAATGCAATTCAATGCTTTTGTCGTATAAAAGCATATAAATAAATGATTTATGCTAAGCAGAGGTAGGTTTCAATCCATTTTCTGTATGAATACAAATCATTAATTGGTAGAGTCCAAATAAGATGTTTTCCCATAGGGTCAAACATTTAGCTCTTCAGGGACTAATTAGACCCTTTGTTTTCTTTATCTGTGGCCTATTCCTCTGTTATTTCCCTGATAGTCATTAGGACCACTGGGCATCAGGCAAGAGTGATTAACACCAGACTCTTCCCTTCCCCTTCCTTTTATGTGGACGCACACACAGACACAGTTAACCGCTGTAAACGAGCCACTTGTGGTGTAGCAGCCAATACGTTAGAGGCTTATCCTAATCCTCACGCTAACCGGATAGGGAATCGAGGCTCAGAGGTCACATCGCTTAGCCAGGATTTCACAGCAGAGTCAGACTTTGAGCCCAGGTCCCTCTGACCGATGCTCGTCACACCTTCACATCCGGTGGCTTTGACCGTCAAACACATGTCCTTTCCTCTACCGAGTGTGAGCTCCTTCAGGGCTGGAGTGGGGTGCCAGACACATGAAGGACCCCTAGAAGTTTTATTGGACTGAGCTAGAAGGTCTGGGGGGGAGGAGGTCAAAATGAAGTGACGCAGAGGTAAGCCCTGCGGTGGGCTGCCTGTCCCTCATCTCCAGGGTCCTTGAGGCCGCACTCTACCACGTGGCTGTAGACTGGTGCTGGACGAGGACTCTTATCCTGGTTGCAGGGGGCACAGCATGTGTACTCACTGGGCAGCCCTTCGACACCATGAAAGTGAAGATGCAGACGTTCCCCGACCTGTACAGGGGCCTCACCGACTGCTGCCTGAAGACCTACTCCCAGGTGGGCTTCCGGGGCTTCTACAAGGGGACCAGCCCAGCGCTGATTGCCAACATCGCCGAGAACTCCGTCCTCTTCATGTGCTATGGATTCTGCCAGCAGGTGGTACGGAAAGTGGTTGGATTGGAAAAGCAGGCGAAGCTGAGGTGAGTTGAGGTCACTGAGACCCTCTTTGTTTGAGAAACAACACTTGTGTAGTCAAGATTTTTATGAGACCTTATGGTGAAGAACATTTCCTTTTCTACAATAACTACTCCCTTTGATTAAGAAGTCATATATTGCCATCACAGAAAACTGGGGAAACGCACATGTGTTATGCAAAAGGAGAGTTGCCCATAATCCACCGCGTAGAAACAACCACCCTCACGTTCCTTCCATTCTTTAGGAAGATGCTTTTCTTTCTTTTTTAAAAAATTATTTTTCTTTTTTTATTATTATTTTTCTTTTTTTTAATTGGAGTATAGTTGATTTACAATGTTGTGTTAGTTTCAGGTTACAGCAAAGTGAATCAGTTAGACATATATATATATATCCATTCTTTTTCAGGTTCTTTTCCCATAGAGGTTATTACAGAATATTGAGTAGAGTTCCCTGTGCTATACAGTAGGTCCTTGTTGGTTATCTATTTTATTTAGAGTAGTGTGTTTATGTTCATCCCAATCTCCTAATTTATCCCCTCCCCCCATGTTTCCCCTTTGGTAACCTGAAATTTGATTTTGAGATCTGTGAGTCTGTTTCTGTTTTGTAAATAAGTTCACTTGTGCCATTTTTAAAAATTAAATTCCAAATATAAGTGATATCGTATGATATTTGGGGAAGATGCTTTTCAAATGCTGCTGTTGGTGCCACTTCTCTGGGCAGAAGTGCAGAACTTAAACCATAGATGCAACTTGTGACCCGAGTTTTGAGTTCCACGTCATCAGCAGAATGCAGAGTATTGGAAGAGCCAAATAGGTTTGAGGAAGAACTTGGAATTTTAGGAAGGGTCAGAGCATCTGAGAAGATGCAGGTGAACCTACTGTTTCATTGGTCGAGTCTGCCCCAAACATCAGACTTGGGTGTGTATTTGGTCATTCCTTGGGTATTTATTATACCGAGACTAAAAGGAATTCGGAAACCACTGGGATGTTTAGCCTTTACTCCTTTGAACATTGATTTATATTATAAGTTTTCACTCTTTTAAAAAAAAATATTTATTTTTGGCTGCATTGGGTCTTTGTTGCTGCACGCGGGCTTTCTCTAGTTGCGGCGAGCAGGGGTTACTCTTCGTTGCGGTTAGCAGGCTTCTCATTGTGGTGGCTTCTCTTGTTGCGGAGCATGGGCTCTAGGCACATGGGCTTCAGTAGTTGTAGCACGCAGGCTCAGTAGTTGTGGCTCGCAGGCTCTAGTGCGCAGGCTCAGTAGTTGTGGCACACGGGCTTAGTTGCTCCGTGGCATGTGGGATCTTCCCCAACCAGGACTCAAACCCGTGTCCCCTGCATTGGCGGGTGGATGCTTGACCACTGTGCCATCAGGAAAGTCCCCATTGGTTTATTTTAAGTCATTTAAAATTATTGTTATCAGCTTCGTGGTTGCAGAGGGCAGTCTTGCCTGTTGTTTTGGTGGGAATTCAAGACCCTGTTGCAGATACAGGTCCCACATGGCTAAAGTAGGTTCCTTTTGTACAGAAGTCTTTGGGGGTGCCTGGAGATGTGCCCGTTTATAGCAGGCATCCCGTCTTGATAGATGGAACTTGTTTTTTAAAGGCTTGGGACTGGATGAAATCCCCTAGGGAGACAGTGTTTATAGGACTGAGCACAGATCCTAGGACCCTCCAGCAGGGAGGGGGTCAGGAAAAAGAGGAAGTAAAGGAATAAGCAGAAGATCAACCAGGAGAATGTGGTGTCCCGTGGTCGAGACAGACAGGAAGGACGCTGCAGTGACTAGCTCTTTGCGCTGGAGCGGGAGACTTCCTGGCTGAGGAGACCTGGAGCTTAGGTCTCCTTCAGCGTCCTTGAAGAAGGACAGGGAAATGGAGCAGAACCGCAGGAGGTTCTGGTGCAGGTCCTGCGGTGGAGACAGCTTCCCCTTTCCCTCGGCCTAACCCAGCACCCTTGTCCTTTTTGAACTTAGGGGACCGGAGAGGGGCTGCAGCTTTTTCATCCTACACAACAGTGGTTGCTCATTACCAGTGAGCAAATGCTGCCTGAGAGCTTACGAAGCTCTGACACGCATGTCATGCTTTCTTAGCCCTCACCATGGTCCTGTGCGAGGATCCAGGCAGGTGATGGTATCCGTTTTATAGACGGGGAAACTCTGGTACAGATACTGACGCGCTGAAGATCACTGGGTTAATAAGTGACAGAGCCGGGACTGCAGCCCATGTCTTCTGCACCCTCAATCCAGCATTCTTCCCATAAGACCACAGGCGGGGGCTCTGGTGTACTTTGTAGGGGTCAGGTCTAGAGAAAAGATAATAATTACACAGAAGCAGGGAAAGGAAAGAACTGCTTGTGATCACCTGTTATGAATTTCTGCAGCGATACAGTAAATATTCTCAGTTCGAACAGTCCCTGAGTAGTGCTCTCTTTTCACCTTTGGCTCGGCGGGCTCTGACACAGCAGGAGTGCTTAGGAACATGTTTGTTGAGTGGGTGACAGACAAAACAGTTGATTCTTACAAAATCCCATCCTATGCCGATTGCCATTTGAGATCCAGTTCTAAAGTTTCTACTGTAGGCACAGCCTGGGGCCCATGTCCCTCATCTCATGCACTGGTAGGTGAAAGCATTTATTAGAAAGCCAAAGTCCACTGCAGATCTGACTTGGCCCTGGGTTGCCCTGTATCAGCATGCTTGGAGTTCGTTCAGGTGTTACCGCCTCTTGGATGAAACAGCCGTCTGTATCTGTCGATACCACCTTTGTTCCAGCAGGACTGGCAAACCCTGGTCAATGACCCTGATTGACTATGGCCTGTCAGGTTGACAGAAAGTCCCGGAGGGAGGCCAAGTATGGATCTGCAGACTGGCCAAGAGACAAACCCTTTAAGCTTTGGTTTTGACAAACAATTTAAGTAGGAGTGAAGGGGGAAGGATGGAGGGGGTGGCGTCGGGCACTTCCACCCCTAGAAAGCTGTGTGCCGGTACAGTTGTGGAGCTGGCTCTCCTGGAGACCGTCTGACACATCATTCTTTAAAATTGAAAGGAAGGCCAGACTGCAGGCGGTGTCTTCCTCCTGAAAGAAGGCCTGCTCCAGGCCAGCTCTTCTGAGGCCCGGCTGTGTTAACAGGCCGGCTCAGCCCTGGGCACCCACTTCACATCCACCTGAGGCACCAAGGCCAGACCACCAGGGATAGGAAATCGGGACTGGGATGGTAGGCAGCCCTTGGCTTTATGCAGGCACACGTCAAATATTTGAGGTTTGGTTCCAGACCATCTTGCAAATTTTTTGGTTTCCCAGTGCATATAAAGCTATGTTCACACTATACTGTAGTCTGTGCAATAGTGTTATATCCCAAAAAGAATGTACCTACCTTAATTTAAAAATACTTTATTGCTAAAAAAAAAATGCTAACTATCCTCTGACAACTCAGGGTTGCCACAAACCTTCAACTTTGTTATAGAGCAGAAACTAACACACCATTGTAAAGCAATTGTACTCCAATAAAGGTGTTAAAAAAAATAAAAAGAAAAAGAAATTTTAAAAATGCAGTATCTTCAAAGAGTAATAAAGCGAAGTGCAATAAAACAAGGTTTGCCTGTAGTAACGTTTGACCTCAGTTTCTATAACTATTAGTTCATTGTAACTTTTTATGGTTTCAAAACTTTTTCTAAAATATTTAAATTTTTTTAATTTTATATTGGAATATAGTTGATTTACAATGTTGTGTTTCAGGTGTATAGCTAAGTGATTCAGTTATACATATATCCATTCTTTTTCAGATTCTTTTCCCATATAGGTTATTAAAGAATATTGAGTAGAGTTCCCTGTGCTATTCAGTACATCCTTGTTGATTATCTGTTTTATATATATGTTATATATGTTAATCCCAAACTCCTGATTTATCCCCCCCCCCACCATGTTTCCCCTTTGGAAACTATTAAGTTTGTTCTCAAAGTCTGTGAGTCTGTTTCTGTTTTGTAAATAAGTTCATTTGTATCATTTTTTTCAAGATTCCACATATAAGTGATATCATATGATATTTGTCTTTCTCTGTCTGACTTACTTCACTTAGTATGATAATCTCTGGGTCCCTCTGTGTTGCTGCAAATGGCATTATTTCATTCTTTTTTATGGCTGAGTAATATTCCATTGTATATATGTACCACATCTTCTTTATCCATTCCTCTGTTGATGGATATTTAGGTTGCTTCCATGTCTTGGCTTAAATAGTGCTGCTGTGAACATTGGGGTGCATGTATCTTTCTGATTTGGTTTTCTCTGGATATATGCCCAGGAGTGGAATTGCTGGATCATATGGTAGTTCTGTTTTTAGTGTTTTAAGGAACCTCCATACTGTTCTCCATAGTAGCTGTATCAATTTACATTCCCACCAACAGTGCAGGAGGATTCCCTTTTCTCCACACCCTCTCCAGCATTTACTGTTTGTAAGCTTTTTGGTGCTGGCCATTAGGACTGGTGTGAGGTGATACCTCATTTTAGTTTTGATTTGCATTTCTTTAGTAATTAGTGATGTTAAGCATCTTTTCATGTGCTTTTTGGCCATCTGTGTGTATTCTTTGGAGAAATGTCTATTTAGATCTTCTGTCCATTTTTTTATTGGGTCGTTGTTTTTTGATATAGAGCTGCATGAGGTGTTTGTATATTTTGGAGATTAATCCTTGTCAGTCACTTCATTTACAAATATTTTCTCCCATTTTGTAGGTTGTATTTTTGTTTTGTTTATGATTTCCTTTGCTGTGCAAGAGCTTTTAAGTTTAATTAGGTCCCATCTGTTTATTTTTGTTTTTATTTTCATTACTCCAGGAATAGATCCAAAAAGAGATTGCTGTGATTTATGTCGGAGTGTTCTGCCTATGTTTACCTCTAAGAGTTTTATTATTTTTTAAAGATTTATTATTTTATTTTTGGCTGTGTTGGGTCTTAGTTGCGGCACATGGGATCTCTCATTGCAGTGCAAGGGCTCTTCCCTGTGGTACGCAGACTTCTCTCTAGTTGTGGTGTGCAGGTTTTCTCTTCTCTAGTTGTGGTGCACAGGCTCCAGAGCATGTGGGCTCTGTAGTTTGTGGCACACAGGCTCTAGTTGAGGCACACAAGCTCAGTAGTTGTGGTGTGCGGGCTTAGCTGCCCCGTGGCTTGTGGGATCTTAATTCCCTGACCAGGGGTCGAACCCACGTCCCCTGCATTGTAAGGTGGATTTTTTTTACCACTGGACCACTGCAGAAGTCCGCTCTAAGAGTTTTATGGTATCCGGCCTTACATTTAGGTCTTTAATCCATTTTGAGTTTATTTCTGTGTATGGTGTTAGAGAATGTTCAAATTTCATTCTTTCAATGTAGTTGTCCAGTTTTCCCAGCACCACTTATTGAAGAGCCTTTCTTTTCTCCATTGTTTATTCTTGCCTCCTTTGTCATGGATTAACTGAGCATAGGTGTGTGGGTCTATTTCTGGGATTTCTATCCTGTTCCATTGATCTATATTTCTGTTTTTGTGCCAGTACCATACTGTTATGATTACTGTAGCTTTGTAGTATAGTCTGAAGTCAGGGAGTCTGATTCCTCCAGCTCCTTTTTTCTTTCTCAGGATTGTTTTGGCTATTTGAGGTCTTTTGTGTTTCCAGACAGATGAAAAAAATTTTTGTTCCAGTTCTGTGAAAAATGCCATTGGTAGTTTGATAGGGACTGCATTGAATCTGTAGATTGCCTTGGGTAGTATGTCATTTTGACAATATTGATTCTTCCAATCCAAGAGCATGGTATTTTTGTGTGTGTATGTGACCGTGCCACATGGCTTGTGGGATCTTAATTCCCCAGCAAGGTATTGAACCCAGGCCCTCTGCAGTGAAGGCATGGAGTCCTAAACACTGGACTGCCAGGGAATTCCCCTGTTTATGTCATCTTTGATTTCTTTCATCAGTGTCTTATAGTTTTCAGAGTACAGGTTTTCTGCCTACTCAGGTAGGTTTATTCCTAGGTATTTTATTCTTTTTGATGTGATGGTAAATGGGATTGTTTCCTTAATTTCTCTTTTTGATCTTTTGTAGTAAGTACGTAGGAATGCAAGAGATTTCTGAGTAGTAATTTTGTATCCTGCACCTTTACCGAATTCATTGATGAGTCATAGTAGTTTTCTGGTAGCATGTTCAGAATTTTCTATGTATAGTATCATGCCATCTGCAGGCAGTGATGGTTTTACTTCTATTCCAATTTTGATTCCTTTTATTTCTTTTTCTTCTTTGATTGCCATGGCTAGGACTTCCAAAACTATGTGGAATAAAAGTGGCCAGAGTGGACATCCTTGTCTCATTCCTCATCTTAGAGGAAATGCTTTCAGCTTTTCACCGTTAAGAATGATGTTAACTGTGGGTTTGTCCTATATGGCCTTTATTATGTTGAGCTAAGTTCCCTCTGTGCCCACTTTCTGGAGAGTTTTTATCATAAATGGGTGTTGAATTTTGTCATAAAGCTTTTCCTGAATCTATTGATGATCATATGGTTTTTATTCTTCAGTTTGTTAGTGTGGTCTGTCACACTGATTGATTTGTGGATATTGAAGAATCCTTGCATCCCTGGGATAAATCCCACTTGATCATGGTGTACGACCCTTTTAATGTATTGTTGGATTCAGTTTGCTAGTATTTTGTTGAGGATTTTTGCGTCTGTGTTCATCAGTAATATTGGCCTGTAATTTTCCGTTTTTGTTATATCTTTGTCTGGTTTTGGTATCAGGGTGATGGTGGCCTCATAGAATGAGTTTGGGAATGTTCCTTCCTTTGAAATTTTTTGGAATAGTATCAGAAGGATAGGTGTTAACTCTTCTCTAAATGTTTGATAGAATTCGCCTGTGAAGCCATCTGGTCCTGGACTTTTGTTTGTTGGGAGTTTTTTAATCACAGTTTCAATTTCATTAGTTGTGATTGGTCTGTTCATAGTTTCTAGTTCTTCCTGGTTCAGTCTTACAAGGTTGTACCTTTCTAAGAATTTGTCGGTTTCTTCTAGGTTGTCCATTTTATTGGCATATAGTTGCTTGTAGTAGTCTCTTAGGATCCTTTGTACTTCTGTGGTGTCGGTTATAACTTTTTTCATTTCTAGTTTTACTGATTTGAGCCCTCTCCCTTTTTTTTCTTGATGAATCTGGCTAAAGGTTTATGAATTTTGCTTATCTTTTCAAAGAACCAGCTTTTACTTTCATTGATCTTTTCTATTGTTTCCTTCATCTCTATTTCATTTATTTCTTCTCTGATCTTTATGATTTCTTTCCTTCCACTAACTTTGGGTTTTGTTCTTCTTTCTCTAGTTGCCTTAGGTGTAAGGTTAGGTTGTTTGAGATTTTTCTTTTTGTTTCCTGAGGTAAGATTGTATTGCTATAAACTTCCCTCTTAGAAGTGCTTTTGCTGCATCCCATAGGTTTTGGATTGTAGTGTTTCTGTTGTCATTTGTGTCTAGGTATTTTTTTATTTCCTCTTTGATTTCTTCAGTGATCCATTGGTTGTTTAGTAATACTGTTTAGCCTCCACGTGTTTGTGTTTTTTAGTTTTTTTCCTGTGATTGATTTCCAGTCTCATAGTGTTGTGGTTGGAAAAGATGCTTGATATGATTTCAATTTTCTTAAATTTACCGAGGCTTGCTTTGTGGCCCAGCATGTGATCTATCCTGGAGAATGTTCCATGTGCACTTCAGAAGAATGTATATTCTGCTGCTTTCTGATGGAATGTTCTACAAATACCAATTAAGTCCATCTGGTCTAATATGTCATTTAAGGCCTGTGTTTCCTTATTGATTTTCTGTCTGGATGATCTGTCCATTGATGTAAGTGGGGTAGTTTATTGTAACTTTAGGACAGTTGAATGTGGTAGGTCTGTTAGGCTTCTCTGCTCACAGATGGAAGAGAAATCGTGAGGGGACCTCGCTACCTGGGCAGGCTGCCTAGGGGGTTACCTTTGGGGGCTTCTGGAGGTCTGTGAGTTGTTTTGGTCATCCAGTAACAGCCAGATGCTGGCAGTTAACAGGTGAGTGTCACAGCTAGTTGTTGCTATGAGCAGCTCAGTCCTTTCTGTGCAACTAAAGATTGTCCTCGTAGGTGCCAGCGGTGCTCTCGTGATAGAACATCCTCCCAAGGTTTGGAGAGGATCTCCTTTGCTGACCCCCGTGAACTCTCAGGAGTCTTCCTGGCAATTTGTTTCTTGTACTTTCCCCCATATTCTTTCTAGTTTCACTCCCCTGCTGGTGACTGAGGCTGGTGGTACTAAACCCATGTGAGATGAAGTGAATTCTTGCATTTTTGTACTTATGTGCATTCATTTTCCATTTATATTTCCAGCTTTGCCATTTGCCCTACAACCGTCGAGCTTGCTGACTCACACTGGCAGCACCACTGGCCCACCTCGTGCCCTCTGTGCAGCTGAGGTCCAGGAGGTCATCAGCTGAACTGGGAAATCTTTTTTCAATGAGCAACATTTTGGTTAAAAATGTATCCTGGGTTTTCATCTGTAGCAGTTACATTACACTTGTGGTTGTTCTGGGCTGAATCCAGAGGCACGTAGGGATGGCCTCAAAACCTGTTTTTATTTAAAGCTCAGTGGCAAACACATTGAAGTATTAATAGTGTGTGTGTTGGGGTGGTGGGACCATAGGGAATTTTTTCCCCCACATTGTTTGGTTTGGTTTTTCGGTGTCACTTTCTTAGTTCTGGCTCTGCTAGAACAAAATACCCCAGGCTGGGTGGTTTAAACAACAAAACTTTGTTTCTCATAGCTCTGGAGGCTGGAAAGTCCAAGAACAAGATGCCGCCTGATTCGGCGTCTGGTGAGGGTCCTCTTCCTGGTTTGCAGAGGGACAGCTGGCTGTGTTCTCACATTGGTGGAGAGAGCGCCAGCCAGCTCTCCAGTCTCTTCTTACAGGGACACTAATCTCATCAAGAGGATTTCACCCTCCTGACCTCATCTAAACCTAACTACCTCCCAAAGGCCTTCCTCCAAATACCATCACATTGGGGGTTATGGCTTCAACATAGGAATCTGGGGGTGAGTGACACAAACGTCCAGCCCACAGAGCTATGCCTAATAAAAGGAGCACGGGCTTGCAATCAGGCAGACCTGGGTTTGAAGCCTAGCGTTGCCGCTTAGCAGCTGTGTGACTCTGAGCACAGTTCATGGCATCTCTAAGCGTCATTTTCCCCATATGAAAATTGGGGTACTGCTGTCACCCTCACAGGGTCGTGGGCTCCTCAGAGGAAGCAGCAGGTGCCTCGTAGGCACTGAGGAAGTCTTCCTCTCCCCTCAAGCTTGCTCTCCTTTACCACCAGTGTTTCGGCATGCTGAGACCGAGCGAGTGAATAATGGGTGGGTAACCGGCCTCCTGTGCTTGCGTCCTTCCAGTGATCTGCAGAATGCAGCTGCTGGTTCCTTTGCCTCTGCCTTTGCTGCTCTGGTCCTCTGCCCCACCGAGCTCGTGAAGTGCCGGCTGCAGACCATGTATGAAATGGAGATGTCGGGAAAGATAGCCAAAAGCCAGAAGTAAGTGCTGCTTGGGCACAAACGTGGGGTCTTGTTGCCTTGGTGTATCCAGTATTTTTAAATTTTATGTTGTACTAAAATTAAGTGGCAGAGAAACAGTTTATCTAGTCCAAACACCCCTCTCCACCACCACTCTGAGGATAATTTTCTGAACACATTGTCTGTGGTGGTTGGAATCACCATCCACCCCACAGAATGTTGTAGGCAAGTATTTAGTATCCCAAAAGTGGAGAAGCAGGGGCTTACACCCCTGTTGGCCAGTGGAGTGCATAAGGCATGACCCCCAACTATACTGGGAGGCACGTAGCAGTGGCTTTGGAATTGAGGGCTGGGCTTTTCCTAACTGCCAATTTGGATTCTGGGCTGAGTATTTGCTAACTCCCCAGTTTCACATGGGTTCTCAGGCTGATCATCCCAGATTCTAGCAGTGACTTCCTTTACCTCCTCCCGAATCCTTCAAGTGTACCTACAAACAAGCCAGATTCTGAAAACATTCATGCAAACCCTTGTAAGCATAGCAAGTCTTCAGTGATCGAATCACTCTCCAACTCTGTCCTGAAAACAGATTCTAGTTACCCTGTGAGTGTATGTATCATATACAATATGATTTATTATATATATTTGAGTTGAAAATCAGTTTATTATCCGTGTTAATCTCAAAACTTGCTTATTTATCTAAACTAAAAGTTCGCTCGTGGTTGTTGCTGAGGTTAACTCAAAGCCAGTAAATCTCCTGGGAAAAACCATTAGGTAAACTGACCATTTCTAGAGTCATCACTTTCCATCCAGTGAGGACGGGGTTCATAATAGTGCCCTATTTCCTGCACCTGTGAGATTCATTACAACCAATTCAAATCTATTATTCATAGCCTAGAAGTTCAAAACTTTAAGTCTTTAATGCTTTTTTATTGAAATACAGTATACACACAATAACAGGAACACACCCAGAAATCACAGGAAATCCTAGGTGTGCAGTTCCACAAGTAGTCACAAAATGAACATGCCTTTGTAAACTGGTACCTAGATAAAGAAATAGATCATTAACAGCACCCAGAAAGTTGCCCTTGGGTCCCTTAAAAGTCGTTTAAAGTACTTTTAAAAAAAGTAATTGTTAGATCCAAAGAACTTAGGTAGACGGACACCCTGTACAAAAGTAAATATTGGCTGACTGTATTTTAGGTATAGCAGTGCCCAAGCCTGGGATTTGGTAGCTTGGGGTTAAGACCTGGATTGGAAGCAGGCTAAGTGTGTTGAGTGGGATGACTTTGTTACTTCTTGATTGTATTGATAGAAGAAGGGGGCACTGCAGGCAGGGCCTGGCTAGTGGGTAATGCCTGGGAAGGAAGATCATCAATAAAAGCAGGTGGCCTTTGTTACCTGGGGGCCTGATCCTTCCCTGATCCAAGCCAGGTCACCTGCTGAGAACAAAGTGAGGAGTGAGGGGCTCGCTAAGCTGACAGGTGTGGTTTGTGGTGCTTTTCCTCCCAGGGATAGGCCTGCCCCGCTACACCACCAGGAAGAGGAGCCTGCACAGAAAGTGCCCGTGTTCTGGCTCCTGCAGGCTCTGATCTGCTTCAAGTAAAAATTTTTACACACCTACCTCGCTAAGAACTAAATACTGGTTACATCTAGAGCCTTACAGGAGCTATAGCTCAGCTCTTAGAATTTCTTTTGTCTTGCCTTTAAGTAACATTTAAGGCTTGTTGCTCACTTCCCTGGATGAATGCAAAACAAAACAAACCCTAAACACCTGAACCAATTCCCTCAAAATACACAAGCTCAAAAGAAAGGCTGAGGAGATAGGAATCAAGGCAGGTAAGGGACTGGGCACGTACAGTGCCATTTTCTTCTCTCTGAGTTTGGACAATCTCATTGTAATTTCGCTTTACTTACTATGGAAAAAATGGCTATTGGCTCTTTTAGATCTTTGATAATGATTTCTAGAAATGTATGCATTTGTTGTAATAAAATATCTTTACCCAGACTAGTTCAAGTAATAAAACTTGTTACAAAATAATTGTATACCTCTCTTTCTCGGAGATATTTCCTTCCCCCAAAAACCTTTTATCGCTGGAATTCTGGCTCCTCTGTTTATAAAATGAGCTGCTTCCCTGTTGGAGCTCCATCAGGTCTGCTAGTTGGGTGTGAATGCCGTTCTTACCTGTCGCCCCGCGTGTCCCCCCAGCACAGTTTGGTCTGTCGTGAAGAGCATCCTTAGGAAGGACGGCCCCTTGGGCTTCTACCGTGGACTCTCGAGCACTTTACTTCGAGAAGTACCAGGCTACTTCTTCTTCTTCGGTGGCTACGAGCTGAGCCGATCGTTTTTTGCATCGGGGACGTCAAAAGATGAACTAGGTAAGTGTGCTGGCAGGGACGGCAGGTGGGTTCAACGGTGTCTGCTTCCCAGTGGTGCGGTCTCGGCGGCTTCTGTGCAGTTCGCCCCTTGTGGGGGGTCCGCTTGGCACTGGGAGCTCCTGGATGCCGGGGAGTACCGTGCAGCAGGTAACAGCGAGCACCATCCTCCAGCCTCGGTAACTTCCTCAGGGCAGAGGCTGCCGCAGGACATCCCCAACTTTTTTTTTTTTAACATCTTTATTGGAGTATAATTGCTTTACAGTGGTGTGTTAGTTTCTGGCATATAACAAAGTGAATCAGCTATACGTATACATATATCCCCATATCCCCTCCCTCTTGTGTCTCCCTCCCACCCATCTAGGTCACAAAGCACCGAGCTGATCTCCCTGTGCTATGCGGCTGCTTCCCACTAGCTAGCTGTTTTACATATGGTAGTGTATACATGTCCGTGCCACTCGCTCACTTCGTCCCAGCTTATCCTTCACCCTCCCTGTGCCCTCAAGTCCATTCTCTACATCTGCATCTTAATTCCTGTCCTGCCCCTAGGTTCTTCAGAACCTTCTTTTCTTTCTGACTTACTTCACTCTGTATTACAGACTCTAGGTCCATCCATCTCACTACAAATAACTCAATTTCGTTTCTTTTTATGGCTCAGTAATATTCCATTGTATATATGTACCACATCTTCTTTATCCATTCATCTGTTGATGGACACTTAGGTTGCTTCCATGTCCTGGCTATTGTAAATAGAGCTGCAATGAACATTGTGGTACATGACTCTTTTTGAATTATGGTTTTCTCTGGGTATATGCCCAGTAGTGGGATTGATGGGTCGTATGGTAGTTCTGTTTTTAGTTTTTTAAGGAACCTCCATACTGTTCTCCATAGTGGCTGTATCAATTTACATTCCCAGCAACAGTGCAGAAGGTTCCCTTTTCACCACACCCGCTCCAGCATTTATTGTTTGTAGATTTTTTGATGATGGCCATTCTGACTGGTGTGAGGTGATACCTCATTGTAGTTTTCATTTGCATTTCTCTAATGATTAGTGACGCTGAGCATTCTTTCATGTGTTTGTTGGCAATCTGTATATCTTCTTTGGAGAAATGTCTTTTTAGGCCTTCTGCCCACTTTTGGATTGGGTTGTTTGTTTTTCTGATATTGAGCTGCAAGAGCTGCTTGTATATTTTGGAGATTAATCCATTGTCAGCTGCTTCATTTGCAAGTATTTTCTCCCATTCTGAGGGTTGTCTTTTCATCTTGTTTATGGTTTCCTTTGCTGTGCAGAAGCTATTAGTTTCATTAGGTCCCATGTGTTTATTTTTATTTTTATTTCCATTTCTCTAGGAGGTGGGTCAGAAAGGATCTTGCTGTGATTTATGTCATAGAGTGTTCTGCCTATGTTTTCCTCTAAGAGTTTTATAGTGTCTGGCCTTACATTTAGGTCTTAAATCCATTTTGAGTTTATTTTTGTGTATGGTGTTAGGAAGTGTGCTAATTTCATTCTTTTACATGTGGCTGTCCAGTTTTCCCAGCACCACTTATTGAAGAGGCTGTCTTTTCTCCATTGTATATTCTTGCCTCCTTTATCAAAGATAAGGTGACCATATGTGTGTGAGTTTATCTCTGGGCTTTCTACCCTGTTCCATTGATCAATATTTCTGTTTCTGTGCCAGTACCATACTCTCTTGATTACTGTAGCTTTGTAGTATAGTCTGAAGTCAGGGAGCCTGATTCCTCCAGCTCCGTTTTTCTTTCTCAAGATTGCTTTGGCTATTCGGTGTCTTTTGTGTTTCCGTACAAATTGTGAAATTTTTTGTTCTAGTTCTGTGAAAAATGCCATTGGTAGTTTGATAGGGATTGCATTGAATCTGCAGATTGCTTTGGGTAGTATACTCATTTTCAGTGTTGATTCTTCCAACCCAATAACATGGTGTACCTCTCCATCTGATTGAATCCTCTTTAATTTCTTTCATGAGTGTCTTATAGTTTTCGGCCTAGCAGTCTTTTGTCTCCTTAGGTAGGTTTATTCCTTGGTATTCTGTTCTTTTTGTTGCACTGGTAAATGGGAGTGTTTCCTTAATTTCTCTTTCAGGTTTTTCATCATTAGTGTATAGGAATGCAAGAGATTGCTGTACATTAATTTTGTATCCTGCTACTTGACCAAATTCATTGATTAGCTCTAGTAGTTTTCTGGTAGCATTGTTAGGATTCTCGATGTATAGTATCATGTCATCTGCAAACAGTGACAGTTTTACTTCTTCTTTTCTGATTTGGATGCCTTTTCTTTTTCTTCTCCGATTGCTATGACTAACACTTCCAAAACTATGTTGAATAATAGTGGTGAGAGTGGGCAACCTTGTCTTGTTCCTGATCTTAGAGGAAATGGGTTCTGTTATTCACTACTGAGAATGATGTTGGCTGTGGGTTTGTCATATATGGCCTTTATTATGTTGAGGTAAGTTCCCTCTATGCCTACTTTCTGGAGAGTTTTTATCATAAATGGATGTTGAATTTTTTCAGAAGCTTTTTCTGCATCTGTTGAGATTATCATATGGTTTTTATCCTTCAGTTTATTAATATGGTGTATCACATTGATTGATTTGCATATATTGAAGAATCCTTGCATCCCTGGGATAAACCCCACTTGATCATGGTGTATGATCCTCTTAATGTACTGTTGGATTCTGTTTGCTAGTATTTTGTTGAGGATTTCTGCATCTGTAGTCATCAGTGATACTGGTCTGTAATTTTCTTTTTTTGTAGTATCTTTGTCTGGTTTTGGTATCAGGGTGATGGTGGCCTCATAGAATGAGTTTGGGAGTGTTCCTCCCTCTGCTATATTTTGGGAGAGTTTGAGAAGGATAGGTGTTAGCTCTTCTCTAAATGTTTGATAGAATTCACCTGTGAAACCATCTAGTCCTGGGCTTTTGTTTGTTCGAAGATTTGTAATCACAGTTTCAATTTCAGTGCTTGTGGTTGGTCCGTTTATATTTTCTGTTTTTTCCTGATTCAGTCTGGGAAGGTTGTGCTTTTCTAAGAATTTGTCCATTTCTTCCAGGTTGTCCATTTTATTGGCATATAGTTGCTTCTAGTAATCTCTCATGATCCTATGTATTTCTGCAGTGTCAGTTGTTACTTCTCCTTTTTCATTTCTCATTCTATTGATTTGAGTCCTCTCCCCTTTTTTCTTGATAAGTCTGGCTAATGGTTTATCAATTTTGTTTATCTTCTCAGAGAACCAGCTTTTAGTTTTATGGATCTTTGCTATCGTTTCCTTCATCTCTTTTCATTTATTTCTGATCTGATCTTTATGATTTCTTTCCTTCTGCTAACTTTGGGTTTTTTTTGTTCCTCTTTCTCTAATTGCTTTAGGTGTAAGGTTAGGTTGTTTGTTTGAGATGTTTTTTGTTTCCAGAGGTAGGATTGTACTGCTGTAAACTTCCCTCTTAGAACTGCCTTTGCTGCGTCCCATAGGTTTGGTGTCATTGTGTTTTCATTGTCATTTGTTTCTAGGTATTTTTTGATTTCCTCTTTGACTTCTTCAGTGATCTCTTGGTTATTTAGTAGCGTATTGTTTATCCTCCATGTGTTTTTATTTTTTACAGTTTTTTTCCTGTAATTGATACCTAGTCTCATAGCACTGTGGTCAGAAAAGATACTTGATATGATTTCAATTTTCTTAAATTTACCAAAGCTTGATTTGTGACCCAAGATATGATCTATCCTGGAGAATGTTCCATGAGCACTTGAGAAGAAAGTGTATTCTGTTGTTTTTGGTTGGAATGTCTTATAAATATCAATTAAATCCATCTTGTTTATTAATGTGTCATTTAAAGCTTGTGTTTCCTTATTTTTTTCCTTTTGGATGATCTGTCCATTGGTGAAAGTGGGGTGTTAAAGTCCCCTACTATGATTGTGTTACTGTCAATTTCCCCTTTTATGGCTGTTAGCATTTGCCTTATGTATTGAGGTGCTCCTATGTTGGGTGCATAAATATTTTACAATTGTTATGTCTTCTTCTTGGATTGATCCCTTGATCATTATGTAGTGTCCTTCTTTGTCTCTTGTAATAGTCTTTATTTTAAAGTCTGTTTTGTCTGATATGAGAGTTGCTACTCCAGCTTTCTTTTGATTTCCATTTGCATGGAATATCTTTTTCCATCCCCTCACTTTCAGTCTGTATGTGTCCCTAGGTCTGAAGTGGCTCTCTTGTAGACAGCATATATATGGGTCTTGTTTTTGTATCTATTTTTGTTTTTGTATCCTATATCTTTTGGTTGGAGCATTTAATCCATTTACATTTAAGGTAATTATTGATATGTATGTTCCTATTACCATTTTCTTAATTGTTTTGGGTTTATTTTTGTAGGTTTTTTCCTTCTCTTGTGTTTCCTGCCTAGAGAAATTCCTTTAGCATTTGTTGTAGAGCTGGTTTTGTGGTGCTGAATTCTTCTTTTGCTTGTCTTTTTTTTTTTTTTTTTTTTTTTTTGGTGGGTATTGCCCTTGCTACTGCCCAGTAGAGTCAAAATGACAGAGCACAGGCTCCAGCCATGCAGGCCCAGCGGCCGTGGCCCACGGGCCCAGCTGCTCCACAGCATGCAGGATCCTCCCGGACCGGGGCATGAACCCACATCCCCTGCATCGGCAGGCGGACTCCCAACCACTGCGCCGCCAGGGAAGCCCTTTTGCTTGTCTTTAAAGGTTTTAATTTCTCTGTCAATTCTAAATGAGATCCTTGCTGGGTAGAGTAATCTTGGTTGTAAGTTTTTCCCTTTCATCACTTTAAGTATGTCCTGCCACTCCCTTCTGGCTTGCAGAGTTTCTGCTAAAAGATCAGCTCTTAACCTTATGGGGATTCCCTTGTATGTTATTTGTTGCTTTTCCCTTGCTGCTTTTAATATTTTTTCTTTGTATTTAATTTTTGATAGTTTGATTAATATGTGTCTAGGAGTGTTTCTCCTTGGATTTATCCTGTATGGGATTCTCTGTGCTTCCTGGACTTGATTGACTACCTCCTTTCCCATGTTACGGAAGTTTTCAACAATAATCTCTTCAAATATTTTCTCAAACACTTTCTTTTTCTCTTCTTCTGGGACCCCTATATTCGAATGTTTGGGTGTTTAATGTTGTCCCAGTGGTCTCTGAGACTGTCCTCAATGCTTTTCATTCTTTTTTCTTTATTCTGCTCTGCAGTAGTTATTTCCACTATTTTATCTTCCAGGTCACTTTTCTGTTGTTCTGCCTCAGTTCTTCTGCTATTGATTCCTTCTAGAGAATTTTTCTTTTCATTTATTGTGTTGTTCATCATTGATTGTTTGCTCTTCAGTTCTTCTAGGTCCTTGTTAAGCATTTCTTGTATTTTCTCCATTCTGTTTCCAAGATTTTGGATCATCTTTACTATCATTACTCTGAATTCTTTTTCAGGTAGACTGCCTATGTTCTCTTCGTTTGTTTGGTCTGGTGGTTTTTTACCTTGCTCCTTCATCTGCTGCATATTTTTCTGTCTTCTTATTTCATTTAACTTACTGTGTTTGGGGTGTCCTTTTTGCAGGCTGTAGGTTTGTAGTTCCCTTTGGTTTTGGTGTCTGCCCCCAGTGGCTAAGGTTGGTTAGGTGGCTTGCGTAGGCTTCCTGATGGAGGGGATTGGTGCCTGTGTTCTGATGGGTGGGGCTGGATCTTGTCTTTCTGGTGGGCAGGGCCATGTCCAATGGTGTGTTTTGTGGTGTCTATGAACTTCTGATTTTAGGCAGCCTCTCTGCTAATGGGTGGGTTTGTGTTTCTGTCTTGCTAGTTGTTTGGCATAAGGTGTCCACTGTAGCTTGCTGGTCATTGAGTGGAGCTGGGTCTTAGCATTGAGACGGAGATCTCTGGGAGAGCTCTTGCCGATTGATATTACGTGGGCCCGGGAGGTCTCTGGTAGTCCAATGTCCTGAACTTGGCTCTCCCACCTCAGAGGCTCAGGTCTGATACCCGGCCAGAGCACCACGACCCTGTCAGTCACATGGCTCAGAAGAAATAAGAGAAAAAAAAGAACGAAAAATAATAAATAAAATAGTTAAAGTAAAATTAAAAAGTAATAAAAAGAGAGCCACCAAACTAATAAACAAATCCACCAATGATAACAAGCACTAAAAACTATACTAAGAGAAAAATCAGAAAGAAGTCAGTGTCTGACAGCAAACCCGAAGTCCACGGCCTCAATATGGGATGATTCGTTGTCTGTTCAGGTATTCCACAGATGCAGGGTATATCGAGTTGATTGTGGAGATTTAACCCGCTGCTCCTGAGGCTGCTGGGAAAGATTTCCCTTTCTCTTCTTTGTTCGCACAGCTCCTGGGGTTCAGCTTTGGATTTGGACCCGCCTCTGCCTGTAGGTTACCCTCAGGCATCTGTTCATGCCCAGACAGGACAGGTTTAAAGCAGCGCTGATTAGGGGGCTCTGGCTCACTTGTGCTGGGGGTGGGGGGAGGGAGGAGTACGGTAGTTATAATTGGAATGTGGGGCGAGCCTGTGGCGGCAGAGGCCAGCGTGACGTTGCAACAGCCTGAGGTGTGCTGTGTGTTCTTCCGGCGAAGTTGTCCCTGGATCACAGGATCCTGGCAGTGGCGGGCTGCACAGGCTCCTGGGGTGGGTGTGGATAGTGACCTGTGCTTGCACACAGGCTTCTTGGTGGTGGCAGCAGCAGCCTTAACATTTCATGCCCATCTCTGGTGTTTGAGCTGATAGCCACGGCTTGTGCCTGTCTCTGGAGCTCGTTTAGGCGGTGCTCTGCCTTCTGTGGGCAGACAGGGAAGGGGGATCCCCTCTCCTCGCGCACCCTGAAACAATGGTCTCTTGCATCTCTGGCAGATTCAGACTTTTCCCCGGACTCCCTCCTGATTAGCTGTGGCGCACTAGCCCTCTTCAGGCTGTGTTCACGCATCCAACCCCAGTCCTCTCCCTGGGGTCTGACCTCCGAAGCCCGAGCCTCAGCTCCCAACCCCCGCCCGCCCCAGCAGGTGAGCAGACAAGCCTTTCGGGCTGGTGAGTGCTGGTAGGCACCGATCCTCTGTGTGGGAATCTCTCCGCTTTGCTCTTTGCATCCCTGTTGCTGCGCCCTCCTCTGTGGCTCTGAAGCTCCCCCCACCCCAAGCCCCGCCACGAAGGGGCTTCCTAGTGTGTGGAAACCTTTCCTCCTTTACAGCTCCCTCCCAGAGGTGCAGGTCCCATCCCTATTCTTTTGTCTCTGTTTATTCTTTTTTCTTCTGCCCTACCCAGGTATGTGGGGGAGTTTCTTGCCTTTTGGGAAGTCTGAGGTCATCTGCCAGCATTCAGTAGGTGTTCTGTAGGAGTTGTTCCACATGTAGATGTATTTCTGATGTATTTGTGGGGAGGAAGATGATCTACACGTCTTACTCCTCTGCCATCTTGAAGGTCCCCCCCCACCACCACCAAAACTTTTTTCCTGGAATAACATTTGTTCATTTGCTCTGGGTCCATTTTAGGGGAGAATACAGACATTATTTTCCCTGTAGGATATCACCAACAAATGGGGAAATCACCTATAAATCATCTTGCAATAAGCTTAAACTTAGTAATAAATCTTGATAGTGTTTTGAGAGCAGTGAGTAGTGTACTTCTTTCTAGTTTATCCTAATTAACTGCTTGACACAACTGTATCGATGTTTGGCTCACATGAGTGGTTACTTGTTTCTTAAATACCTCCCTTCAGTGTTCTGGACCTATTCTGGGGATAGTCAAGCTCCTAGGCTTAACTGTTACGTTTAATAACTTTGCTTTTTCATGGCAAAGGAAGAATCAGAGCCATGGGACATTAATATATTAAAATAATTAAGCGAAAGTTGAAAAAGATGCAGCCTGTGTTTGAGTGGCCTCTGTTCTCACTCCTCATGATAGGGTATTGCCATGCTGCTGGGGGCCTAGCTGGTTCTTGGGGGGCCAGGCCTCTGGAGGATGGGGCAGGAGGGCCACAGAGATCAGCCTAAATCTGACCCTCACTAGGGCTGCCCCTTGTCCTGGAGTCATGAGGGACAGTCCCAGTCTACCACACAGAACCTGTGCTCTTAGTTTGACAGTTGCCCCAGAGAACTGTGTTCCGCAGCTTTAGTGTTTGTATTTGCACCTACCTGCAGCCACTACTACATTGACCTCTGGAAATATCACATCAGCTGTTCTTGAGACAAAACACTGTTTGCTCATTTTCTTCTCTAGGCCCTGTCCCTTTGATGTTAAGTGGTGGATTTGGTGGAATCTGCCTCTGGCTTGCTGTTTACCCAGTGGATTGTATCAAATCCAGAATTCAAGTTCTCTCCATGTCTGGAAAACAGGCAGGATTTATTGGAACTTTTATAAGCATCGTGAAAAATGAAGGTGAGTCTGCCAATTGCTGAAACAGAGGAGGTATGTATAGGGAGTGGCTGCTCGTCTTGTCGAAGTTGATCAGATGGGTAATTGCTCTCTTCCACCGCCTCACTTTTCTAACAGTGTATGTAATTCACATTTGTGGATTTGTTTCCAGACCCCTTTCTTTAGCTTACTTCATTATTCTCAAGAATGTTTTTATTTTATTTATTTTTTGCTGTGTTGAGTCTTTGTTGCTGTGCACAGGCTTTCTCTAGTTGTGGCAAGTGAGGGCTACTCTTCATTGCGGTGCGCGGGCTTCTCATTGTGGTGGCTTCTCTTGTTGCGGAGCACGGGCTCTAGGCACATGGGCTTCAGTAGTTGTGGCTCGTGGGCTCAGTAGTTGTGGCTTGCGGGCTCTAGAGTGCAGGCTCAGTAGTTGTGGTGCATGGGCTTAGTTGCTCCGCGGCATGTGGGATCTCTCTGGACCAGGAATTGAACCCGGGTCCCCTGCATTGGCAGGCAGATTCTTAACCACTGCGCCACCAGGGAAGTCCCCTCAAGAATGTTTAAAGCTCTGATTCCTAATCTTTGGGCCAGGATTTTGTTTCTAAATAGCCTGGTGGGAATTTTTAAAGTATGTGTTTTGTCTAAGAGGACACATGTTTCAGAGTTAGCACCACTTTTTTTTTTTTTTTTGGCTGCATTTTTTTTTGGCTGCACTCTGTGGCATGTGAAACTTCCCCAACCAGGGATCCAACCCATTCCCCCTGCAGTGGAAGCATGGAGTCTTAACCACTGGACCACCAGGGAAGTCCTGCACCACTTGTTTTAAACAATATCATCAGGAGATGAGCTCTAACAGCATATCAGTAAGGCATTTAAAAGAATGTACATCCTTAATGATAAGACTTCTGCAATGAGAAAGGCACTAAGCAATTTCTGAAGGTGATTTGCTATCAGTTTTTAGTTATACAGGTAGATAAAGACTTTTAAAGTAGTGTTTGTATAAAGCCAAGTTTATGCCACTAGTGAGTAAAGACCTGTGCTTCCAGCATCCACTGTACGTCTTAAAACTTGGATGTGCACTTTTCTGTCTTGATTTTGAGAGAAAGCGAGCAGAGTAACAGCATGCAGAAACTGCTTTAACCCCAAATAGAGCACAGACATCTTGTATATTACTAACAGTAACCCCTTTTAAATTTGCGTTACACTTTGTAGTTTTCCAAAGTACTTACACCTCCCTTATCTGCCTGGATCTTCAGAACTGCCTTGTGCAGTGCTAATACTAGAAACAGGTCCTCGATGTCAATGTCATTGCTCTGTGTTCTGGCCCCGTGCCTCGTGGTCCTTGCCCGCTAGGTGAAGCTGTGAAGTTGCTGTTGTCCGTGGCTTTGTGGCTGCCTCCTGTCTGCCCATGTGAGGCGCCCACGTGAGGCCCCCTGCTCTGCCTGATCCGCTTACCAGGAGGTAACAGGCATGGGATCGGTGACTGTTCCCGGAGCCTCACCAGCTTTGCTGGCAGACCTGCCCTTGCCCTTGTTTTTACTAGTCTGTCTAGTTCCAGTAGTCCAGGGAAACCTGTTCCATCGCTGCTGGTTTTTAGTGCTATTGTCTGGATCTGTAACTGTAAAAATATCTGTGCTGTGTGGGTTCGTGGGATATTTCCAAGGAGGGGGAGCTCAGTCTTTGGTCACCCTTTTGTTTTCTAGGAATAACGGCCTTATATTCTGGACTGAAACCTACCATGATTCGTGCGTTCCCTGCCAATGGGGCACTCTTTTTGGCCTATGAATACAGCAGGAAGTTGATGATGAGCCAGTTTGAAGCATACTGAAGTGTTCTGGCAAACCTTGATCCAAGTGAAGCTCTTTGAGGACTGCAGTTCTCAGAGTTTCAAGGAGTACAAGACCAATGTGGAATTTTTTGATTTTGTGGGAATTTTTTTTTTGTCTTCCATTTTTCTACCTTCTACCTTAAACTTGATAGAAGAGCTTCTCTTTTATATAATTTCTGCCCATAATTGTAGTGAAGTGGAAAAGTTGCTGCTCTTGTCCTTGGTGGGACTTACAGGGTGGGCTGCTGGCCCTAGGTACCTAACCTGAAAGGCTAAGTAGAGCTTTATCAAGGGCTTTTGCGTAAACCTGTATGTGTACATGCAGTTTAGATGGTTGTGTTGTGAGTGAAGCACAATTTAGTTCTGTGTTTAATCTCAGATCTCACTAGAAAAAACCAGAGGTAACCGTGTTTCATGAGGATGGTTATAAATGCTTCATCCATTCTAGATGTGGGTCTCTTTTAAAATCTACTTAGCACATACCCTGTAATAAGTGGTTAAAGTTTTTATAAAAGTTTTCCTGTGGTGCCTGAAAACTAAGGCATCCGTCTAGATTCTAAAGAGGAGAATATACCTGCATACTGGTGTGGCTTCCATGTTCTTGATTTAAGTTTCAGAGTAAGCATCCTGGATTTTCCCAAGGTGCTCCTCTGTGGAAACAGTGCCATCCATCTTCTTCCAGGTGGGATCACATTCCATGCTCGGACATATTGTTGGGTGTGGCCTAGAGCCTTTGGGAAGCAGCATGGCCCTCGCCTGTGCCAGCCCCTCCTCCTATCCCAAGGAGCTCCTCTCTGCTGGGCTTGAGCTCCAGGCAGGGGCTGAGGGGAGGGGCCTGTGGTGCTTTGTGAAGACGGTGGCTGACAGCTGCCCTGAGCTTCTGCCTCTGTGTCCTGGCCTGGGCGGGATTCCAGGGAAGTCTGTCGGACCACCTACGGGCTGCTGATCCACTTTGGACCACGCCCTCCTTTCCTCTGCCAATCGGAAGCCCTTCCAGGGAGCAGAGTGCCAAAGCCAAGAGAGGCCCTGGCTCCCCGTCTGGGGACAGAGTGGTGGTGCTTGTGGGCAAAGCGGTCTCCTTTCAGAGGGAACCAGAGTGTCGTGCTTGCACTCCCTGTGAGTGGTGTCAGGGCTGCCCCAGGCTGAAGTTTATCTTGGGATCCCTCACTCCTTGCCATGCTGGAGCCTTTAATGTGGGGTACTGGCTGTCATGAATTTCAGTGATGGTGGTCCCTGGGGTGTGACTTAATAAATCAGCGAAGCAAAGGTAATTTCATTCAACTATGCCATATGTGTGCACTACTAACAAACCCTGGTTCATCTGACTCCCGTAGACTTGGGATGGGCAGCTGTTCCCTGGCCGTCTGGTTTACGGGAGCCCTTGTCATCACCAGTGAAGTCAGCCGCCTCATTCTGTGCTGCTCCGAGACCGCCCCCAGGCCTCTAATAAAGAGTTCTTAATCCGCCCCTGCGGCTGATGTGTTAATAATGATCCACACTGGTATGTCCGCCCCTGTCGACAGAACGGAAGCGTTGTGTGTGAGACCTCCAGTTTCCACAAGTTTTTGTTCTCCCTGCAGCCTCGGTGGTGACTCCGGCCAGAAGCCAGAGAGGGTCGGGAAGGCCAGCTGCTGGCAGACGTTTAGTGGAGGGGGGATGCCCGGTGTTGTGCCCAATGGGCTCCAGAGCTATGCCTGGTCTTCCATTTGCCTTTTCTTGAAAAGCAATTTTTCTACCTTACTTTTGTCCGTACTTAAATGGTCAGTAGCTACTGAGTGGTGCTTCTTCTGAACAGGCCTGGATTGAAGCAAAAATAGCAAATGGGACTGGCTTCCCCCAGGAAGTGACCTGCTCCAGAGCCCACCGGGTCCCTGTTGTCTAAGCCGTGTTGGCAGTAGGTCTTCTCATGTGTTGTCCTGGAAAGATTTAACTGAGTATCTTCAACAAAAACTAACTGAGGCAAATAAGAGTGAGTGGGAGTAATGAATGGAAGCTTAAGACAGTTGTTTTTTTTTTAACGTTTCATTCTATTTGCTTAATTCATGGTTCAGTATTTGGGTACAATTTGTACCATTTCAAATCTGTACTCCAGACAAAAATAGAGTAACTTGAAATACTGTGTTTAAAGAAATTCTCGTGTTCTATCATTAAATTTGCCTAATAGTTGACTATGATTTGTTTAAGTACTTTATGTGCTAAGAACCAACTGTCAGGAATGTTTGAGTTATGTATGGTGATATTTCAAGGTGATGGTTTTATTGCAACGAGCATTGGTTTTTTTTGTCAGCAAGATTCCTGATGTAAAATAACTACTGATATAAATATTCTGTATACACTGCAGTTACGAAACGTGGCCCACTAGAATTACTCTCCCTCCGCCAGGCTGTGTATGTGATGTGACTGATTTGGCAGGATGCCATTCTATTTTTTAAAATAACTTCTGGGTATCAAGTTTTGGATAGTTCTGTTCCAGGTCAGTAAATTCTATTCAAGAAAACCAGTATCGTTTTGATATATTATGATCTAAGTTTCTCAAGTTGTTTAACGAATTATTCGCACAGGGTTCTAGGAAAGCAGCCCTGCTGGAGGCCCTGAGCAAGTTCTCTTTACGGGCAAAAGCAGACTAGTGTGACAGCTCATAATTGCCAGATATTTTAATCCATTTTGGAGAGCTAGGGAAGAGAACCCCCAACTGTAATTTCCTTTATTTCAAAAAGCAAGATTCTGAAAAACTGGGGTTTCCCAGCTTTTGCCAGTGTTCAAGGTAGATCTTACTCCTCGCTTTTTTTCCCATTCACCTAGGCCTGCCCGCTGATCTGTCCTCCACGGATTATAGCTGCAGGAATTTTAAAGGAAATAACCTGGGCTGCCACGACACATTTCTGTAACCCAAATTACAGGGAATAATGTAGTCATAACATGGAAGGAGTTTGAAAGGCTGTGTCACCAAGAGCTCTTCCCCCAAGGGGAGTCAGATTAAGGGGAGTAGAATAACCTTTGCAGCTGTGCTTTTGGGGGGCTGTTTTGAGGGGGAGAGAAGCACCTGCATGGCCTTCCACGCCTCCATGCTGGCAGCTCGGGGCCCTCCTCCCTGCTAGGTCGGCACCCACCAACCCTTCTCTATAAACTGTTGCTCTAGTTTCCCTTAAAAAGTACTGACTGTGGCAACCTCCAGACCTCCTGGGGCTGCCAACCCAAGTGGCCAGTGGTTAGTGCGCTGTTACAACACTGCTTAATTGGAATGGTCTGTCCCAAACCCTATTTTTTTATCTTGTGCTTTTTGCAAAGTGCAAGGTTTTTCAGGAACGATTAGTCTGTGTTGTAGCAGAGGCACTGGTTCTCATCATTTGCTACTTTTCATTTCCTGATCAATTCAACTTGGGCTAGATTGTTGAGAGCCTTGCCAATAAAAGGAAAATCAAATAGTAAAGCCAACATAGAACTGTTTTCAAAGACAATTACGGCCTTAAGATAGTGGCAGTGAAAGTACTTGGAATAAAGTAGCACCTGGTACCAAAGAGAAAATGATTCCCTGTGGACACAGGACTAACCAGTGTCTATAATGAAAACTTGACCTTACTTCAGAGTTCCCCAAGCTTAGGTGAAGCTGGTTGTGAGCAGGGCTGATGGGTTTTAAAACGATCTTTGCTGCCATTCTGACGCTCGTTAATAGTTTGTAAATCAAGTAGAAGGAATTAGAAATTACTTTTCTAACAAATCTGAAACTACAAATGTAAACCAAAGCAGGGAATGAATACTTGTCCAAAAATACATAAGTAAATAAACCCACAGTATTGGGGGACAATCACAATTTTTAAATATGTTATTTTGATAGGAAAGTTTTATTTCTGAGTTCTTAAGTGATAACTAACGTTCCCGTGTACTGTTTCAAATTTATCTCAATACAAATGAAAACTATTGCCATTGACATTCTCTCGTATATATTTAATACAGTTCTCAAGAACATATGTATATATATATGTAAATATATCAGCAAGGAAATAGGTTTAAAGGATATAAGTAGGTAGCAAGGATTGGGAAGAACATGATTCTAGCCTAGAAGGGGAACTACACTTAGATACCAGCTGCAACTTAACGTCATCAAAATATACCTCGACTGCAAACTCTGGACGGTAAATTTTCCATGCTTTTGGTTTGTGGGGATTATCCAATTCACTTCTTGAAAGATAAAGCCTAGAATAGAAAAAAAAAGATTACATTTTATTGTAGGGCTAACAGAAAAGCCATACTGTAGGACACCCTTGTTAGAGCTTTAAAAAAACAAGCCTTGCTAGCCACCATCAGTCTCGACCCCTCCTCTGCATCTAATTAGCTTTCAAAGACCAGCTCTCCCACTTTCTCTCTTAAGACACAAAAATATCATGACCTTCAGTAATAACGTGTCACTCATCCTTTTAATATTGCCTTTTATGGAATTAATATCATTTAATAAATTAAATTTCTATATGTGATAAATCAGACTAGATGTGTATTAAAACCCAATAATAACAAGTGTCTTTTAAATGATGAAGTTGGCATTTTGGGTAAATTAAATCTCGTAATAGCTTTACCAAGGAGTATGGAAATTCACATGTTAAATCTTCAGAAACTATAAAAGTGAGGAGAAAAGTGATTTAGCATGTTGCTTCTCTAATATGAACATGGTGTTTTAAAGGAAAAAGCTGTGCCCTTTAGCAAGAACCACTTTTGAGTAGTACCAAATGAAGTTCCACCTAGATGTCTATTTGAGGGACTTGGCTCATGTTATAAGTCGAAGTTTTCTGTCTGTATACATCCAGGGGAAAAAATTGGTAAAAATGTTCCAGCAAATCCAAAGTTCACTCTATCAATAGCCACTAAATGTGTGTGCATTGCAGGTGTTTAGGCTAGGTTTTTATTTACTGTCACCTTAGTGGACTTGAGGTGGGATTAGATGCAGTCTACATTTGAAGAAAAGGCTAGGACTGTATGTCATGGGAACTGTCAGTTCATGGCACATACAATCATAACCAGTTCTTCAAAACTCTATGATTTTTTGAATATTATCTTTCCTTTTGTATTGAATGGTATGGTGATACCAATCTCAAATTTTCAGCACCACAGAATAGAAGATGTGGAGAACTTCTAGATTTAGGAATGAGTTTCAGATATGATAGAGGTTCTTTGGAATACTCTTCAAGTCAATTACTTTTAAAAAATAGATTATCCGATTTAGTTATAAGAAAATCAGTTTTAAATGGGAGACTATTAATGATTTTCTGAAAGCTGTCTTCACTGATACTTACTGTGTCTTATAACTTCTACCCTAGATGTAAGTGTGTCAACTACCTTTTAAACTAGCTGAAGCCTCCCTGGATGACACCTTCCTGTGGCATAGAATTTGGTGTTGGTCAGTCATCAGTAAATCAACACATACTGAGGACCTACCATATTCAAGGTACTGAACAAACTCATATTAAACTTTCATGGGAGGGATTTGTTGCCACACTCAAGATCTGCTTATAGTATGTTTTATAACGCAGTCCTATGGCATGGACCTTGAGGATAATGCAACAGTGGGTCTCAAGAATAGCCATATTTTTACAATCAGAAGAAAAGGAATCCAAATCGGAAAAGAAGTAAAACTGTCACTATTTGCACGTGACATGATACTATACACTGAGAATCCTAAAGATGCTACCAGAAAACTACTCGAGCTAATCAATGAATTTGGTAAAGTAGCAGGATACAAAATTAATGCACAGCAATGTCTTGATTCCTATACACTAATGCTGAAAAATCTGAAAGAGAAATTAAGGAAACACTCCCATTCACCACTGCAACAAAAAGAATAAAATAGCAAGGACTAAACCTACCTAAGGAGACAAAAGACCTGTATGCAGAAAAATATAAGACACTGATGAAAGAAATTAAAGATGATACAAACAGATGGAGAGATACCATGTTCCTGTATTGGAAGAATCAGCATTGTGAAAATGACTATACTACCCAAAGCAATCTACAGATTCAATGCAATTATCAAACTACCAATGGCATTTTTCACAAAACTGGAGCAAAAAATTTCACAGTTTGTATGGAAACACAAGAGACTCCGAATAGCCAAAGCAATTTTGAGAAATAAAAATGGAGCTGGAGGAATCAGGCTCCCTGACTTCAGACTGTACTACAAAGCTACAGTAATCAAGACAGTATGATACTGGCACAGAAACAAATATAGATCAATGGAACAGGATAGAAAGCCCAGAGATAAACCCAAGCACATATGGTCACCTTATCTTTGATAAAGGAGGCAAGGACATACAATGGAGAAAAGACAGCCTCTTCAATAAGTGGTGCTGGGAAAACTGGACAGCCACATGTAAAAGAATGAAATTAGAACACCCCCTAACACCATATACAAAAATAAAATGGATTAAAGTCCTAAATGTAAGGCCAGACACTATAAAACTCTTAGAGGAAAACATATGCAGAACACTGACATAAATCACAGCAAGATCCTTTTTGACCCACCTCCTAGAGTAAGGGAAATAAAAACAAAAATAAACAAATGGAACCTAATGAAACTTCAAAGCTTTTGCACAGCAAAGGAAACCATAAACAAGTTGAAAAGTCAGCCCCCAGAATGGGAGAAAATATTTGCAAACAAAGCAACTGGCAAACGATTAATCTCCAAAATATACAAGCTCAATATGAAAAATGAAGCTCAGTCTCAAAAAAACAACCCAATCCAAAAATGGGCAGAAAGCCTAAAAAGACATTTCTCCAATGAAGATATACAGATTGCCAACAAACACATGAAAGAATGCTCAGCATCACTAATCATTAAAGAAATGCAAATCAAAACTACAATGAGGCATCACCTCACACCACTCAGAATGGCCATCATCAAAAATCTACAAACAATAAATGCTGGAGAGGGTGTGGTGAAAAGGGAACCTTTTTGCATTGTGGGTGGGAATGTAAATTGATACAGGCGCTATGGAGAACAGTATGGAGGTTCCTTAAAAAACTACAAATAGAACATATGATCCAGCTATCCCACTACTGGGCATATACCCTGAGGAAACCATAATTCAAAAAGAGTCATGTACCACAATGTTCATTGCAGCTCTGTTTACAACAGCCAGGACATGGAAGCAACCTAAGTGTCCATCATCAGATGAATGGATAAAGAAGATGTGGCACATGTATACAATGGAATATTACTCAGCCATAAAAAGAAACGAAATTGAGTTATTTGTAGTGAGGTGGATGGACCTAGAGTCTATCATACAGAGTGAAGTCAGTCAGAAAGAGAAAAATACCATATGCTAACACATATATATGGAATCTAAGAACAAAAAAGGTCATGAAGAACCTAGGGGCAAGACGGGAATAAAGACACAGACCTACTAGAGAATGGACTTGAGGATATGGGGAGGGGGAAGGGTAAGTTGAGACAAAGTGAGAGTGGCATGGACATATATACACTACAAAACGTAAAATAGCTAGCTAGTGGGAAGCAGCCACATAGCACAGGGAGATGAGCTCAGTGCTTTGTGACCACCTAGAGGGGTGGGATAGGGAGGGTGGGAGGTAGATGCAGAGGGAGGGGCTATGGGGATATATGTATACATATAGCTGATTCACTTTGTTATACAGCAGAAACTAACACAACATTGTAAAACAAGTATACTCCAATAAAGATGTTTTTTAAAATAACCAGATCACAATAAGGAAGGCAATGAAGAACGGTGACTCAAGGATTTTTTGGTTTCTATAAATTGGGCTTACGGCAATTAGCAAAAGACTTGTCATTACCTCTTACATAGACATTTGAGACTAAGCTGTTTCTACTGCGTTATACCATAGCCATACCTGTTATTTTGTATAAAAGATGTGTGGAACCAAAAGAAAAATGGACAGTCGTCATAGTATTTAGGAAGATCCTAAAAAGACATGGTTAAAAGAAAAAATTAGTTTAGTATCCATTTTACTGTGAAAAATAATCTTTCCAAAGGAATTAAAATTCCTTCCTTTATTCATCTGTATGTTCATCAAATAACTGTAGCTATTGAATATGCAGCACTTACCATCAACATTATACTCAAGATACCAAGAGAGAGACTTTGAGAGACTGCTGTTCCTTTCTCTCGCTATTTCTAGCAAAATTTTCAAAGAAATGTATTTTCTCTATGATACTTATAAGTTTAGACACTGATCTTCTAATCTGGTTTGGATAGTGCTAAACAGAACCTACTAAGGACCTATGTCTGTTTCTGCCCCAGTAACATCATCCGTTCCTACAAGGAGCAGCTAGCTACATTGGATAATTAACCACGACTGATGATGATAGAAACACCTAAGATTTCTGAAAGTGCTTTCATCTCATGACCCTTGACAATCACAAAGGCCAGAAATCACCAACATCCCCTTGGCTAGCGCCCCTACACCAGTGCTTCTGCTTAGAGACCACTGATTAAGAGAATTCAGACTGGCTCAGTTGTTCAAGGGGAGCTATCCCAGCCACTTGCTTCAACACATGTACCATTTCAAACTTAGTAAATTCTCCGCCAACAGGGAACAAGCAGGGGGTGCAGGCGGGCACAGGAAATAAGCTTTAAATTGAGCAAACACAGTTACATGTTGGCAGTTCTGGTTGATGATTTAATAGGAAAATGAAACTCCTGGGGCTTAGAAATTTGCTATATACAGAATAATCAGACATACATTTGATAACTGGTCAGCATAAATTATACTGTAATGACAATGGCAGATATTCTTATTTTTCATAAATATTGGATTAAATATTGCTATTTTAAATGAATTATACATCAATTGAGAAGAAAGCAAAATCTTCCTCACTTTAACGTATTTTATAAGTTATGGGGAGCAATGTATTTTAAAGATACAAACCAAAAATATGATCACTGCTATGTAGTTTATACCTTGGTTTTGTTTTTTTTTTTAACATCTGGGTTTTTGTATTTTTTTCTTATTTGAAAATTAATACATGCAAATTGTATACAATTTAGAAAAACAAATGAGCAAAAATATGTTTAATTACATATTTTCTTTTTAAAAAAAATATTCGATATAGAAATCTGACTTGTTTTGTCTCCCCATCCCTGACTAGGGGTTGACATCTCCTATCATCTCCCTTGTTGGGAACTGTAGCAAAGGAAATCCCAAACCAGAATCATTCAGAAGACTAGACACGATTAGCAGCATAGAAGCATAGATTGTTTCTTGATGACTCACCGAAGAAAGAAATTTCACTTTCACCTCATCATACAGAGGTGGACAGTTGGATAGATTAATTATTACTCTGTCTGTTTCAGCATCATGAACTATCTGTGGATGAACACATGGAATTCAGAATTATAAACCTGATAATGAGACAACAGTGAAGTTCATGTCCACTTATTGAGGCTTCTTCTATTTAATCAAGTACTCTTGGTCTCATAGCCCAATGACTACATGTATAAATGTTAATATTTATTTCTATAAAGTTGCAATACTGTTAACATTTTTAACAGGGCATCGTGGTTGAGGGTTATGGTGGAACACTTGAAAAGCAAAGTATTCAATTTTCTATTAGACTTTAACCAAGTAAACATTAGTGTTGAATGTGTGTCACCTAATTTTCATATGTTGGGAATACATAAGAAGCTCAATTTTAAAGCTAGTATGCATATTTAAAAAGCAATGCCTAGTTGCTCACATTTTATCAAAAATGTGTTTGCTGATGGGATCGTAGGCCTTGTCTGTAGCAGACTGCTGGATGGAGTGACCAAAGGTAGGCCAAGTTTCTGGAATGAACAACTTTGAAGCTATACTGATTATTTGTTACGGATACACCCTTGTATGATAGTGACACCCACAGTGAGAAAGGTCTATGCTAGGCCCTGGGAAAAATACAAAAGAAAGTGAAGACTCTGTTGATGCTTCAGGGAGTAAAACACATCAGGACCAATAGCAGAATAGCATAGAACTACGTGTTAAGCTGTATGATGAAGACTAAGGGTGCCGTTGTGTGATTCAGGGAGGCTAACAGGAGGCGTAGAATGAGAAAGTGTCACCGAGGAGGTGGAAACTGAGATGGGCATGGAAGGATTTGTATAAATTAAGAGGAGTACTGAGGGGATCAAGATGGTGGAGTAGGAAGATGCTCTCACGGACACTCCAAAACTGCAACTACATGTGCAACAGCTCTGAGAATGACCTGAAGACCAGCAGAACAGCTCTCCTACAACTAAGGATATAAAGAAAAAAACACATTGAGACAGGCAGGAGGGCAGAGATGTGGTCTCATCAGGACCCATACCCCCAACATGGCTACCCACAAATGGGAGGGGACCTTACAAACACAGAGGTTCTCCCTAAGGAGAGAGGGGTTTGAGCCCCATGTCAGGCACCCCAGCCCTAGGGACCTGCACCAAGAAAATGAGCCCCCATAACATCTGGTTTTGAAAACCAGCAGGGCTTGTATCCAGGAGAGCTGTAGGAAACCAAGACTCTGCTCTTAAAGTGCACACGCACAAATTCACTCACTTTGAGTCCCAGGACAGAGGCAGTACGTTGCAAAGTGCCCAGGCTGTATGTGAAGTACGTTCATTAACTTCAGGGTGAGTGCCAAAGGGGGGAAGAAACTGCCTCTGGGGAACAAAGTGCTGGTGGGCATCATTAAAAAATTCTCCTTCTACCTAGGCTGGCCCAGCACTGGCAGGTGCCATTTCAAAACATTTGCCATCTACCTTGCTAACACCACTCACCCCAACCCCAGCATTCCCCTGCAGACCTGCCCTGCCCAAAGCAGCTCCCAGCTGCCACCCTGCCATATCCAGTGGGAGTCCTTGGCTGGTTGTAGTCCCCCTCCTCCCAGGGTGGGAGCCCAAAGAAGCTCCCACCCTGGGGGCCAACCCCACTCACAATTGTACCTGCAACTGTTGTGGTTGGGCCCCACAGCCAGCCACACTGGGGCCAGCCTTGCCCACCAGTGAATGTGCCGCAGCTGTGGCCAGGCCACACAGGCAGCTGGCTTGGGGGCCAGCCCATTCCACTAGCGTGACTGCAGCATCTGTGGCACCGTACAACAGGAGGGGCACATGCAGCCCACATAGAAAACATCCCTGGCTCTGGTGACTAGCAGGGATTGCTCTTCTGGGCCCCACAGCAAACCTTCTACATAAGGCCACTTCTTCAAAACCAGAAGATGTAGCTAATCTACCTAATACACAGAAACAAATGAGAGGAATATGCTCCAAATGAAAGAACAAGACAAAACTTCAGGATAAGAACCAACGAAATGGACATAGGTAATCAACCTGATAAAGTGTTCAAAGTAATACCCATAAGGATAGGTACTCACCAAACTTGGAAGAAGAATGAACACAGTGAGAACTTCAACGAAGAGATATAAAAAAGAACCAATCAGAACTGAAGAATACAATAACTGAAAGGAACAATACAGTAGATGGAATCGAGAGCATATTAGGTGCAAAAGAATGGAAAAACAACTAGTTATGTACAAGGGAACCCCTATAAGACTATCAGCTGATTTTTCAGCAGAAACTTTACAGGCCTTAAGCAAATGGCACAATATATTCAAAGTACTGACAGGGAAAAACTTATAACCAAGAATACTCTTATCTGGCAAGGTTATTGTTCGGAATTGAAGGAGCAATAAAGTTTCCCTGACAAGCAGAATCTACAGGAGTTCACCACTGAACCAGTCATACAAGAAATGTTAAAAGGACTTCTTTAAGCAAAAAAGAAAAGGCCATTACTAGAAATCAGAAAACATGTAAAAGGAAAAATCTCCCTGGTAAAATCAAACGTATAGTAAAGGCAGTGGATCAACCACTTACAAAGGTTATAAGGTTTAAAGACAAAAGTTGTAAAATCAACTATCACTACAATAATTAGTAGGTATACAAAATCAAAAGATGTATAATGTATCAAAAACATAAAACATGGAGTGGGGGGAGTAAAAATGTAGTGTTTTTAGAATGATTTGAACTTAAGTAATCAACTTAAAATAGACTGCTATACACATAGGCTGCTATACACGAACCTCAAATTAACCACAAACCGAAAACCTGATATTGCGAAAAATTAGAAAAAGGAATTCAAACATAATGCTAAAGAAAGTCATCAAATTCCAAAGGAAGAGAGCAAGAGAAGAAGGAACATAGAAGAACTGTAAAAACAACCAGAAAATAATTAACAAAATGGTATTTAGTACAACCTATCAATAATCACTTTAAATGTAAATTCTTCAATCAAAAGACATAGGGTGAATGATGGATTAAAAAAAAAAAAACAAGACCCATCTATATGCTGCCTACAAGAGATTCACTTCTGATCTAAAGACACACACAGACTGAAAGTGAAGGGATACAAAAAAATACTCCACGCAAATAGAAACAAAAATTTGGGGTAGCAATACTTATACAAAATAGACTTTAATACAAAGGCTGTAGGACAGCTACATGTAAAAGAACATTCTCTAACACCATGTACAAAAACTCAAAATGGATTAAAGACCTAAATGTAAGACTGGATACTATAAAACTCCTAGAGGAAAACATAGGCAGAACACTCTTTGATGTAAATTATAGCAATAATTCTTTGGATCTGTCTCCTAAATCAAAGGAAACAAAAGCAAAAATAAATAAATGGGACCTAATTAAGCATATAAGCTTTTGCATAGCAATGGAAACCAATGACAAAATGAACAGACAACCTACTGAATGGGGAAAAATATTTGTAAATGACATGACTGATAAGGGGTTAATATCCAAAATATATAAGCAGCTCCTACAACTCAACGTTAAAAAAAAAAAAAAGGCAATTAAAAAATGGGCAGAAGACCTGAATAGAGATTTTTTCAGAGAGGACATGCAGATGGCCAACAGGCACATGAAAAGATGCTCAACATTGTTAATATCAGATGAATGCAAATTAAAACCACAATGAGATATCACCTCAAACCTGTCAGAATGGCTATCATCAAAAAGAAGACAAGGCTCTTCAATAAGAGCTGGGAAAACTGGACAGCTACATATAAAAGAATGAAATTAGAACGTTCCCTAATACCATACACAAAAATAAACTCCAAATGGATTAAAGACTTAAATGTAAGACCAGACACTATAAACTCTTAGAGGTAAACATAGGAAAACACTCTTTGACATAAACCACAGCAAGATCTTTTTTGACCCACCTCTTAGAGTAATGGAAATAAAAACAAAAGTAAACAAATGGGACTTCATTAAACTTAAAAGCTTTTGCACAGCAAAGGAAACCACAAACAAGATGAAAAGACAACCCTCAGAATGGGAGAAAATATTTGCAAATGAAACAATGGACAAAGGATTAATCTCCAAAATATACAAACAGCTCAAGGAGTTCAATATCAAAAAAAACAATCCAGTTAAAAAATGGGCGGAAGACCTAAATAGACATTTCACAAGAAAGGCATACAGATGGCCAAAAGGCACATGAAAAGATGCTCAACATCACTAATCATTAGAGAGATGCAAATCAAAACTACAATGAGGTCACCTCATGCCAGTCAGAATGGCCATTATCAAAAAATCTAGAAACAGTAAATGCTGGAAAGGGTGTGGGGAAAAAGGAACCCTCAGGCACTGTTGGTGGAATGTAAATTTTTACAACCACTATGGAAAACAGTATGGAGGTTCCTTAAAAAACTAGAAATAGAACTACCATATGACCCAGCAGTCCCACTACTGGGCACATACTCTGAGAAAACCATAATTCAAAAAGAGACATGGGGCTTCCCTGGTGGTGCAGTGGTTAAGAATCCGCCTGCCGATGCAGGGGACATGGGTTCGAGCCCTGGTCCAGGAAGATCCCACATCCCGCGGAGCAACTAAGTTCGTGTTCCACAACTACTGAGCCTGCGCTCCAGAGTCCATGAGCCACAACTCCTGAAGCCTAGGTGCCTAGAGCCCGTGCTCTGCAACAAGAGAAGCCACCGCAAAGAGAGCCCATGCACCGCAACAAAGAGTAGCCCCTGCTCACCGCAACTAGAGAAAGCCCATGCACAGCAACAAAGACCCAACACAGCCAAAAAAAAAAAAAAAAGACGTGTACCACAATGTTCATTGCAGCACTATTTACAATAGCCAGGACATGGAACCAACCTAAATGTCCATTGACAGATGAATGGATAAAGAAGATGTGGCACATATATACAATGGAATATTAGTCAGAAACGAAATTGAGTTATTTGTAGTGAGGTGAATGGACCTAGAGTCTGTCGTACAGAGCGAAGTAAGCCAGAAAGAGAAAAACAAATACTGTATGCTAACACATGTATATGG